TGACAAAGGAGATTAATCAGAACTGGCTTTGACAAGCACTGTGGCAATTGGACAACTAAAACAGACATTTGGGGGATGGGAAGAAGAACGAACTGGGGAGGAGGGTAGAGAAAACAGTGCAACAATGAATGAATGAAAACCCCAAATCTCTATAAATGTTCATTAAAACTAATAAAATTTTTAAAAAAATAACTAATCAATCTGGCCAATGCCTAGTATGTCAATACTTGGACCAGGAGGCAGTTGTCAGAAGAGAGCAAGGGAACATGCATGGTTCAAAATTGGGAAGGGCGTATGCCAGGGTTGTACCCTATCTCCATACCTTTCCAACCTGTATGCAGAACAGATTATCCAGGAGGCTGGGCTCTATGAGGAGAAATGTGGGGTCAAGATTAGAGGAAGATCTATCAACAATCTGCGTTATGCAGATGACACAACCCTGCTTGCTGAAACTGAATAGGACCTGAAGCACTTCCTGCAGAGGGTCAAGAACTGCAGCCTGCAATATGGACTGAGGTTCAATGTCAAGAAGACAAAGATTCTCACCACTCGGCCAATTGGCAGCATCAGGATGGATGGTGAAGAGATCGAGATTGTTCATAGCATTAGTTTGCTTGGCTCCACAGTCAACACTCTTGGCACCAGTAGCCAGGAAATTAGAAGACATATTGCCATGGGAAAGTCTACTGTTAGGGACCTCTCCAAAGTACCAAAGAGCAATGGTGTCTCTCTGGAGACTAAGATGCATCTGATACAGGCCATGGTCTTTGCCATCACTTCTTATGCATCAGTGAGTTGGACAATGACCAAGGAGGATAGAAGAAGAATTGATGCCTTTGAGCTATGGTGCCAGAGAAGAATACTGAGAGTACCATGGACTGCTAGGAAAACAAACAGATTCATCCTGGAAAGGGTTAAACTGTGCGTGCGACTCCTTGGAAGCAAGGATTCTGAGGCTCCGTCTAACATACTTTAGACATGTGGTAAGGAGAGACCGGTTCTTGGAGAAGGGCATCATGCTTGGTAGGGTGGAGGGACAGCGCAGGAGGGGAAGGCCCTCTGTGAGATGGATTGAGTCAATGACTGGGGTAATCAGGATGGGAGTGTCAGAGACAGTGCAATTGGCACAGGACAGAGCAGAGTTTAGGGCTGTGAAAGCGACTCAACAGCACATAACAACAACAAAAACAATCAATCTGGCACAGATGACCCTCTTCACAATCAAGAGCAGGAAAAGAGCTCTATCAGGCCAATGTAAGATCTTCTTTATCTAGAAGGACAAGATACAGGCAGAAGCCACCACATACAAATATATACACAGTGAGCAGGGAATGTCAGAGAGGTTGGTCTTTCTTGATATCACTATCACTTAAAACTGATTCCTAAAACTCAAGGCCTGGCTTAAGAGTCTCCGCATTGCCACCTTCATCTCTTTATTCCTAAAAGTGTAGATCATAGGGTTTAGAAATGGGGTGATAATTACATCAAAAATGGCAAGGAATTTGTCCACTGACACTGTGAGAAATGGCCACAGATATGCAAAGATGCAAGGACCAAAAAATAAGATTACCACAGCAACATGTGCTGACAGTGTAGAGAGGGCCTTCGACAAGCCACCTGAAGAATGGTGCCAAACAGTGACCAAGATGAAGATGTAGGAGATGATCAGAATGAAAAAAGTGCCCAGGGAGATGAGCCCACTGTTGGCAGTGACAATGAACTCCAATCTGTAGGTGTCTGCACAGGCAAGTCTGATAAACCGAGGAAGATCACAGTAAAAGCTGTCCAATTCATTGGCGCCACAGAATGACAAATTTACAACAAATACTAGTTGGATCAATGAGTGGATGATTCCAATGGTCCAGGCAGTCACTAAGAGGGAAATACAAGTCCTGAAGTTCATGATGGTCAGGTAGTGGAGAGGTCTGCATATAGCAACATATCTGTCAAGGGCCATGACTATGAGCAGGACCATCTCAGTTCCTCCAATAAGATGAATGAAGAACATCTGAGCAATACAGCCCTCGAAAGAGATTACTTTCTGCTCCCTGAAAAGATCAGCAATCATCTTTGGAGCTACACTGGATGAAAGCCACATGTCAATGAAGGAGAGGTTGGCCAGTAAGAAATACATGGGGGAGTGCAAGTGGGAATCAGTTATCACTGTGAGCACAATGAGCAGGTTCCCTAAAATACCTGCTGCATAGAATGCAGAGAAAATGAGAAAGAGAACAAGTTGTATTTCCAAGGAACTGGTGAGTCCCACCAGCAAAAATTCAGACACCGCTGAATGATTTCCTTCCTTCAGGGTCTTGGTCATTTTGGACTTGAAATTTACCTGAAAGAAGAGAAGAGATAAGAAATTGGACTTATAGCTCTATCAGGAAAGGTTACATTGAAAAATCAAGACTTTCAAGTGATAATTTATAAAGGAATTTGCTGCAAAAAATTGACCTAATAAAATCATCAAAAGTATTTTTATCAGATGATGTAACACACAGGACAAGTGATCAAGAAAACAGCAAAGGGGGGTAGGGGGAAAGAGGAATAAACTGGAACTTACTAGAAAGAGCTAGAGTCTATAAAGACAGACTGAAATTGACACAGCTTCTCATTGCCTCTTGATACAAAAACAAATCAGACATCCTGCCATCAAGCCAGTTCTGACTCAGTGACCTCCATTGTGTTTCTTAGACTGTGAATCGTCTTTCTCCCTTGGAGAATCAAAGGACTCTGGTAGAATCAAACCATGTCATGCAGCCTTTTATTTAGTAATTTCAATCACTACAGACTAAGTCACTCAAATATCCCTTCATAGTGCGTCTCTATTGCAGAATTTGGGACTTTTCACCAGAAATGATAGATAGATAGATGATAGATAGATAGATAGATAGATAGATAGATAGATAGATAGATAGATAGATAGATAGATAGAGATACACACAATCTAGGAGTCAAAGAAGTTAAAAGAGACTCCCAATAAAGATGAGGCAGTTATAGGCTCTTTACTGCCTTTTCCCCAATGTAATGGTCTATCAGATAAACAGCACTTGTAAGCTACAAAAATGACTGCTTCCTCCCTCCTGTTCTCCAAATACTTCAGAAGTGGTATGCATATAATCTAAACCATTTTTACAAACTAAATAATTCTCTTACATGTTCGTTTCCTATGTGCATTATATAAGTTATACGCATGTGCATTATTTAAATGAACATTGTTGTTAGCTGTTAGGTGCCATCTAGTCGCCTGCGACTCATAGCGGCCCCATGTCCAACAGCCCTAAAACCTGCCCTATCCTGCCAATCTCACTGTCTCAGACACACCTACCCCCATTACTCCAGTCACTGAATCAATCCACCTCATAGAGGGTCTTCCTCTCCTGCACTGTCCCTCCACCTTCCCAAGCATGACGTCCTTCTCCAAGGACTGGTCCCTCCTTGAAACATGTCCAAAGTATGTCAGATGAAGCTTCAGAGTCCTTGCCTCCAAGGAGCAGCCTGGTTTAACCCTCTCCAGAATAAAGCTGTTCATTTTCTTACCAGTCTATAGTATATTTAATACTTTCCTCCAATACCACAGCTCACAACTCAGAGGTATCAATTCTCCTTTTGTCCTCCCCAGTCATTGTCCAGGTCTTTGATGCATAGCAAGTGACTACAAAGACCATGGCCTGTATCAGGTGAACCATAGTCTCAAGAGTGACACCATTCTCTTCAGTACTTTGGAGAGGTCCCTAACAGTAGACTTTCCCATTGCAATATGTCTTTTAATTTCCTGGTTGCTGGTACCAAGAGTGTTGACTGTAGAGCCAAACAAACTACAGTTGTTAACAATCTCAATCTCTTCACCATCCATCCTGATGCTGCCAATTGGCCGAGTGGTGAGAATCTTTGTCTTCTTGACATTGAGCCTCAATCCATACTAAAGACTGCAGTCTTATTTGGGGGTGGGGGGTGAAATAAAGCACGTATTTTGAAGCTCACCCTAATCAGAAACATACAAGAAAGGAAATTCATGAAAATATAGCTTTAAAAAATGAAGTTTCTCAATTAAAAAAATACACAATTTTTTTTCATTCTCTGTTATCACTTTTCATTCAGTCAAAAAATGGCCATACTGGTAGTTAAATTGATTTGACTAAGGCCATAAACTTATGGTCCTAATCTCATTCTACCATCCATCAAATTCTCTTGTTATTACTAACTCTGTGTAAAATTTCACAATGGAATGTATTCTGTTATGAGAATTATTTCAAGTCAGAATATCAGTGGAGCTGTATAGTGAAAGGAAAATGAAGGTACTAAATAGTATATGACTTGTGGTGGCATAGTCAAAATTGAGTTGTGCTATAGTCCCTAAAGTGGCAACTCTCTGACAGTTCAAATTCACTACTGGCTTTCAGGGGTAAAGATAGGGAATCTCCTCCCATGCAATTTATAGGCGCCAAAAATCCACTGGACTGTCAACTATGAATTTATTTTGAGTCAAGAGCAATCAGAGAAGTGGCCAATGAGTAGGGATGATAGAGGGAGAATTGAAAGAATTCCTAAAGAATAGGACGATTATCTAACTTTTTAGGTAGTATGCTGGAGTACTCAAATTAACATAACTGTTGAAATTTAATTTAAAAAAAACAGCACATAGATTGTTTGCTAACAAATGTACATCCAGAATTTCCCAGGCATTCTACAATAACTCTTTAACAGTATAAAAGTATTTGTGTTTATCATGTTTTTTGCGTTAAAAAACAACCAAGCAGTGGTATTAGATGTCTCATTGCTTGGTTAAATGAGTCAAGGGATAGAAGCATTGAGAAATAAAGGATTAAGTTGTTCTTGTTGTTGTTGTTGTTGTTGTGTACCATAGAGTAGCAACTGACTCATAAGTGATCCTCCAGCAGGTTTTCAGAGGCAGTTAATCACACAGGAAAAGCTTGCTGGTGGACTTGAACTGCATGCCTTTGGGACTACAGTGCAGCTTCTTGCCACTAGGCCACCAGAGCTCCCTCAGTGAAATGTGTCACTTTATTTTATTCTTATATTTCTTTTCTTTCATCAAATGTACATTCTACTTTTCTGTATTATTAGAAAGACCTACTTTCATTCTTTAAAATTTCATATTTCTATAAGGTGATGTTTTATCTTAACAAGTCTATCAAACCTTTTAAAAAGTGTTTAGAGTTATACATTTCTAGTAATCCTGAATAAAACATAATTGTGATGGTTTTGAGAACAACAGTCCATAACTGCATTTATACTACTTCCGTTCTGAGTTGTGTACCATTGAGTCAGAACTGAACCCATAGCTGACCCTCTAGCAGATTTTCAGAGGCAATTTATCAGACAGGAGGAGATTGCTGCAAAGCAGCTGATGGATTTGAACCATGTGCCTTTGAGACTGCAGCAGTTTATTATCATTAGGCTACCAGCGCTCCTTTCTGTTCTGAATATTATTAGGTGATGCTTTTTAGTGCTCTGGTACTGCTGTAATAGAAATTCCATAAGTCAATGGCTTTAATGAACATATTCATTTTCTCACAGTTGAGGAAGCTAAATAGAAGTTTATTCAAAACTTCAACTTTAAGAAAAGTTTTTCTTCTCTGTTAGTTCTGAAGGAAGGTGTTTTGTTTTTTTTCTTCTTTCAACATCTAAGGACTCAGCATTCTATAGAGGTCACCATGTGTCTTGGCATCAATCTTTCCCTGGGTCTAAACTGTTCTCAGTGCAGACTAGAACTGAGTCCAAAGGACACCGTTCCTTCTGATCTTTTTACTTGGCGGTAGTCAGATCCACTCCTCATTTCTTACATCTCTCTCCTTTTATCTCATATACTGTTGTTGTTGATTGCCATCATGTAGAACACGACTCATAGTGATCCTATGAACAAAAGGCCTAAAGCCTTTCTATAACTTGTCATTTATCAAAGTTCATAGAATTTTCAGAGGCATGTTGTTTAGGAAGTGAATGTCACTCCTGCTTCCAATCTCTTATGATAAGAAACAAAACGTGTGATGCAAGTAAGTATGTGACTTGAATATGTGATTTGAAGAAGAATGACTCTTGAGTATGAATATGAATTGTGACAGATTCTCTTCAATGCCTCTCTGACTTTAGATACACCCAACCTTAATTCTGCCTCATTGATATACAGAGGTTAGACTATACAATACATTAAATGGAAGATAGTTACATACTGTCACAAAATGTATAACCACACAGCACTGGGAATGTTGGCCCAGCCTAGTTTGGAGAAGATACAACTCAATTCATGATAATGATGAGAGAGAGATAAAAATATAAAGCGGTGTTCCTGAAGTAGAGGAGACTGGAAGATAAATTCCTTTTTATGATTCAGGGCATACGTGAAAAGTTAAAGCCAACTTTATACTTAATGAAGACAGGCGACTTTCCCCTTGAAATCAGGAATAAAACGAAAGTGGCTTCTCTCACAACTTTTATTCAATTAGAGGTCTTAGCCAAAAAAGAAAGACAAGAAAAAAAATAACCAAAAGACAACCAGGCTAGAATACCATTGCTGTTGAGTCAGAACCAACTCGTAAATGAAACCCTATTGAATTTCTGAGATTGTAAATCACTGGGAAGAGATTGCCTATCTTTCTTCCCTGGAGGGTTGCTGGATTTGAATTACCAAAGAGGTGCAGGCCTCTAATGTCTAGGCCAAAGAAGGAGTAAAATAGTCTCTACTTGTGGACAATCTGATCCTATACATAGAAAATTTCAAAGAGTCTACACAAAAACTTCCAAAACTGATCAAAGAATTCAGTGACAATACAAGGTACAAGATCAACAAACAAAATCATTTGAATTTTCATATACAATCATTGAGGAATTTGAAAGGGAAATTAGAAAAATAGTTCTCAATACAATAACATCTAGGGAAACAAATTCCTAGGAATAAATCTAACCAAGGATGTGAAGGACTTACATGATGAAAACTATAAAACACTGCTATAAAAAGATTAAATGAGACTTAAATAAATGGAAAGATGTTTCATGTTCATAGATTAGAACATTGTTAAAATGCAAAACTACCCAAAATAATCTATAGCTTCAACATAATCTTCATGAAAATTACAATGGCCTTTTTTATAGTAGAAAAGCCAAGCTTCAATTTTATATGGAATTGCAAGCAGTCCCAAATTGAAAAAAAAAAAAAGGCTGAAAACAAAAGAAAAAAAGGTGATATTTTTATTATTATTGTTGTGTTTCATTAAGTCAGAACCAATAGGTTTTCAGTGACAGTAAATTACACGGGGAGAGATTGCCCATCTTTCTCCCATGGAGCAGCTGATGAAATTG